GTTTACGGCAGGGCTTCAGTAAGAAAACATGCAGATATATTAGTAATCTTAAACTGTTTGTTGTAAAACAAAACTGAAGGAACTACAAAAATGGCAGAACAGTGACTCAGTTGGTAGAGCTGATGCCTCTCAGCAAGAAGGTCGCAGGTTCAAATCCCGGCCTGGGGACCTTTCTGGGTAGAGTTTGCATGTTCTCTCTGTGCATGCGTTGGTTCTCTCTGGGTACTCCGGCTTCCTCCCACWGACCAAAAACATGACTGTTAGGTTAATTGGTGACTCTAAATTGTCCCTAGGTGTGAGTGAGAGAGTGAATGGTTGTTTGTCTCTATGTGTGGCCCTGTGATGGACTTGCGACCTGTCCAGGGTGTACCCCGCCCCTCGCACTGTGACTGCTGGATATGGGCACCAGTGACCCACGTGACCCTGAAAGGAATAAGCGTGTACAGAAAATGGATGGATGGATGGAACGCAGCCATTGCTGTTGATGCTAGATTCATGCTATGACATCATCATCCTGAGACAACAGCTCCAATGCAGGTAAAGCTTCCATACAAGACATTAAACTTGCAGTTACAGCCAGTGTTCGAGCTGCACTTCAAACTGCTGGACCACAGGTACTATCCATGTTGGTTTTAATGAAAACATTTCGATCTGAAATACTTTAAAGTGCTATCTGCGGTTAGCTATCCAGGATGATCATGTCTTCATCCTGCAACAAACATCCGCTACCTGCTTAATCACAAAAGATAAAAGGACTTAGCTTAAAAATATTTGTCATGTATTATATTTTGCCCACAGCCCTCAGACAGATTTTGACCCTCTTGGGGGAAAAATAATTGGCACTGGTTTTAAACCAAGGTCTTAAGCAGTGTTGAGAGTGACTCTCAGTTATCACAACACATTTTATCTTAATATTTGTTAATTTGATGCATATGTTTTGTGAAGTCATTGGGCTGTATTCACTATTTTGAATTAGGTTGACTCCAAAAGTTAGTCTCTCCAGTGTTTGGTGGAATATTAACACAGTGAACAAACACACACACACGAAAATGAAAAGTCTCCTTTTGGATGAAAGCCGATGTGATCTTTATCCCCTCTTTGTTCATCGGTATATTCTACGCTTCTGATTCAGAATATTTTCTTCTGGATTATTCAGTCAGAGAAGTCGGGGCCGGGGACTTACTGCTCAGCATCCGCTAAGTGAAAATATGTCACAGAGTCAGCAGCAAATCTGAAGCAAAGCACCTGAAGGAGAGAAAATCCACTTTGGAGGAAAGGAGAAGCTGAAGTCAAGGATCAGACGACGCCTATCATCGTGTGTACAAAATGTGTGGCAACAGAATGAAAGTATAACCAGAGAAAAACTGCATTCATTCATTCATTCATTCATTCATTCATTCATTCATTCATTCATTCATTCATTCATTTATTTATTTATTTATTTATTTAT